ATTATTATTTTAATTTTGTATTTCATGAAACAATTTTCTTTAAAAACAATTAGTAAATAGTTTTAATAGTATAATAAAAAAACTTTAAAATTTTATAAACAATTTTTGTGTTGTAATAAGAATAATAATAATAATAATAATAATAATAATAATAATAATAATAATAATAATAATAATAATAATAATAATAATAATAATAATAATAATAATGTTTTCAAGTAAATTATTTGACCATGATCCTTCCAAATTATAAAAATTACATTACCTACAAATTTTTTTAATCAATATAGTTATTCATATGTAACTCAAATAATTTATATCAATATTATTTATTTTTACTAATGATTAAATCTTGAAAATGTGGTATGTCCATTATCTAGAATTTTAATATTAAATTCACATATCTTGAAAATGTGATATGTTTATTATCTATAATTTTAATATTAAATTCACACATATTACTTATAATATTTTATGTACATCTGTGCATGTGCACAGGATGAATACTAGTTATGGTGTCATAGGATCACTTATTCTTCATTTATTTTGTTAAATTATATATGAAATAGACATTAAAAAATGTGAAAATAAGAAAATTGAATTTTCTAACGCTAGTAACGTAGGATTTAAATTAGAAAAAGTAATAATAATAATAAAAAAAATATATACCAATATATGTCGAAATAGTTACAAAATTAGTGTAAAACTAATTAATCATGGATAAATAAATTGTGGACGCAAATTAAGATGTCAATTGCCAAATAAAAAGTATTGTATTAAAAGATGTGCAACAATTTTGGTGGACAATATGAATTTTAAAAAATCACTCTTATTCTTATAAGAAAAAATGTATGTCCTTATAAGATTGCCACGTGGCCTATTAATGGGACGACACATGGCAGTTTTTTTTCTTTTTCCTGCCCAAAGAGGAGCAAACGACGTCGGTTTTCGTATTCTTAATTTACTTTTTGGGGTTAGTATGGTAATGTTGTTGTGATAGATTGAGTGATTGACAACAAGCTTTCCTCACACGCCATTACATTACAGATTCTTCTCTCCTCATCTCGCCTCTCGCCTCTCTGAAATTCGTGGAGACCGACTACGGTACCTTTCTATAGAAATTCGATTGCGCTGAAATATTTCAAACTCCAAACCAAAGAAAACTTCCGAACCCTAATCTCACTCTCAGTCGCCGGCAGCGCCATCCCCATCAAAAGCTAAATCGGCAACCTCCTTGTTTGCTTCTTCCCGCAACACGATCGTCTCTTCAGTCGCATCAACGAACCCATGCGGCCTCAAGTGTCCATCCATCGGCGACTCAATCGAATGGCAGGTGAGGCCCACTCTTTAATTGGTGGTCAGAGGGACACGCCACGCCGCTTCTGTAGAAACCAGGGTTTTTTTTTTCCGTAAAATATTTCGATTATTTCGTTTCTCTATCAACATATTTCGAATTGAAAATATGGATTGATGTTTTATCTGTTAAAATTGCAGCCTAAAGGGCCCCAGCGTGTGAGTCGTAAAATGGTTCAAGTGGGGTTGCGAGTAGAGATTACCCGAACAATGAATTTCTCCAGGTGTTGTTGGTTTCGCCGCAGGTAATGTCTGCCGAACAAGTTTTTCTTTTCTTTTATTGTTTCCTTTTTTGTCTTAGTTGGTGGCCTTTTTGCTTCGTTTTGCTTTGGTTGTCATTAATTTATTCGATATTAATGTCAATAGTATGTGATAAAAGTGGTAGATTTTAGTTCCATTCAATTCAGAGTTACGATAATTTTGGGTTTGAATTTTATGTGTGAGATTGATATAGTGTTTCATGTGTTTCGTTTGATGCTTCTATTTTCTCCATATACAGTCGAGGGTTGCGGTTGGTGGCCTGGCAATCTGTAACATACCGTTGTGCTCGGTTCGTGAGCGGGAGGTTGTCAGACGTGAGTTTGGCGGCTTCGGGTCAAGTGATGGATAGCCCGGCTGGACGGTGTTGACATGTGGTATGGACTCATCGAGCTGGAGCGTGTAGACGATGTACATCTATTATTGGACGACTTCTTCAAAGGTTTGGGTTTTCTTCCTCTCTGGCTTTCATTTCATTTTTTACAATTTTTTTTTCTTCAATTGAATGCCTGGGATGGCCCAGATTTGATGAACTTTTGAGGTGCTTGATGAAAAATAAAACCCTCGCTACTCATTTTGACATTCGCCAATAACAATATTATTTTCTTTTGTTTCTTTATTTGCACAGACAAATGAGACGGTAAAGATGTGTTGAGACCGTTGTAGTGACGGTGGCCCAATAAAAAGAGGTTGTCGGCACCGGAGCCTCGAAGCGCTTTTACGACAAGGTTGTCGGCTTCTCGTCCTACTGATGATTTTATCCCAAACGTCTTTTACTTCCATCTCAGTCAATCCTTTTTATTTGCAAATATATCCACTGATATTTTTTACTCAAAGAATTTTGATTTCTACCCTGTGTGATCAGTTGCGTGGGTCGCACAAATGAAATGTTTTTGTTATATTAGTTGTCACTGAAGACTTCAACTTTAATGGTTTATGTAACCTTTTCGCAACATTAAAACGTACCTCGGGGTCCTAGAGTATAGTATTATTGAAAATGTGGTTAAATTATTTTTTTAGACAACTAAACTCTTTGCAATAGCTGCAATTATCTGGATAGCACATAATTGGGACAAAGTTAGATGGACTACAGTAGCTTTATGTTGTTATTGTTACATCATTGATCACTAAAGACTTAAACTTTACGGTTTATGCAACTTTTTTGTGACTAAAAACAATCTTTAAGGTGTAACTCTTTGTGTTCTTGTGTCTGTCGTAATTACTACCTGCAATCCAGCCGATCACGAAGGAGCTTAAATTTTGCATTCCTTACAGGGAACTTTACATAAATGAAATCAGAGGGAAAATCCCAAAGGAGTTGGGCAAATTGGGCAAACTCATGAGCATGGTATTGTATGGAAACAAACTCGGAGAGGATTCCAAAATTATTCGCCAACTTGAACTCACTTAGGTTTCTGTAAGTTTACCTATTGTTTCAAGAATTACTGGAGAAAAGTTCTTGTTTTGAAGTTATTATTTAATTTTTAATTGATTGTCACATACGGATGAATGACAAATATTTAACCGAGTCGATTGATAGGGAGCTCACGATCCATCCAACCCAAGATTTTCTGATTCTTTAGTTTTTTTTTTTTTAAATTTACATCACGATCGTGTCTGGGTCGTTGGTATAAATAAAAATGTGAAATTTTTGTGGTTTTCATTGTGTGCGCAGCTAACTTGTATTTGATTCATGAATTTTGTAGTGATGTATCGAACAATTATCTATTTGGAACATACCAGTCGATGGCCTACTCGTTACTTTTCCAATGGAGAGGTAAGTGTTTTCCTTAACTAACAACAAACAATGGTGCTCTATTGTACTCTCATTCTTAATATATCCAGGTAGCTTTTCTTATCCCAACCACATCTTCTTTAGGAGCCAAATCAGTGCAAATTCCATTTGCTACTAATCATTTCTTGGATAAAAACATCATGATAAAATGTTTTTACTTTTTATTCTCTTTTTTCTTCTATGCTAATTGTTTATTTTCTTGCTTTCTTGTTTTCCTATTTACGTTCACTTCAGGTCTTTTGGTATATGCGAGGGGCGAAAAAAACCGAGGCCTCTTGCTTTCAAGGATAGAAAGAGAGAATCCATTGACGTGTCCAGGAGAGGAAGAGACCCTTTACTCAAATAAGCCTAAAAAGGTTCGATCTTTAGCCTTATAGCGATTCAGTTTTTCCACTTTTTTGTCAAGTAAAGTTTGGATCTGATGATGGCTGTGTAGTTGACCTGCCTTTTGGTCATTTTTGGCTTGTTGATTGTTGATTAATGTAGCTCTTTTGTGTTTAAGTTCATGCTTTTATGTTATTTTGTGCTGAAATGAGGTGGGATGTGAGGTGAAAATTTAATATTTCAAAAATGTCTGGGGATCTTTATGATTAAGAGGTGAATGTGTGAATATATTGAGTTACTCATTAGTTTTTGATTACATTAATTTCTGATTTCTAAAGCCTCTCTTATTGAAAGGTCCACAATTGAGTTCTACAGCTGTTTGATTGAGTTTAGAAATTATTCATTTATCCAATCTGATTGAAAACTTAAGCACTTGATTTATTCGCGGTTGGTATAGTGATCTTTAGTTGCATGTTAGTTCTTATGTCTTTATCTTGGCAATGTATCAGTATTTGTATTTTATGTACTCATTTATTATTTTCAGCTTGGTGTTTTCAAAATGTCGAAGTCAGAATTGCAAGGAAGTCCAAACAAGATGTTCTTAGATGAAATTTGATATATCCATGTAGTCAATTTTGAGGCAATTTTAGAGAAACCACGTATAGGCAACTATCATGACTATGTATTCATGCAGATTAATAAGATAAAAAAAAAAAAGAAATGTTAGTAGATGAACATGATAAGAAACTACTCCTAAACTGTGAAAGATTTGTGAATGACATCGGGATTGTGGAGGGATGGACATGATAAGAAACTACTCTTAAACTGTGAGAGATTTGTGAATGACATTGGGGTTGTGGAGGGGTCTGTATGTCCGTTCAAACTAAGTTAATGATTGTCTTCAAGGTTAAAACAAGGTTCATTTAGCTATCCCTTATGAGCACAACTTTGAGATTTAAGGCTTAATAAAAGAAACTTCTTTTTACATTGCCTGCTATTGGTGGATAATTGATGCTTTAGTCTTATTCTAATTAAATGGACAACATATTTTTAATCTTAATGTATGATGATATTCAACTACTAATGAGAAAAGTCCAATACTTGTTACAATACAACCTCGCTAATCTACTGTGTGGTTAGAACTAACGAGTGATATCAAATAGTTTTTTAGTTGTATTTTAATATTGTTTGACATTTAGCTTTTAATTATACATTGAAATTTTATTTTATTACCAATGCCTCAATCTATAATTGAAAGATAAAAAAAAATTCATTATAAATTACAAGAAGAAATAATAGCAAGATAATTATATACTAAAATTGATACTCATTGAACAACATACTTTTGCAACATATAATTCAATTATATATTAATTACGTACTTAATATATAACAAAAATTGGGCCGGCTGTGCTGTGCACAGCCGGAAACAAACTAGTAGATATAGATATATAAGGTTGGATTAAAGTGAGTGAGAGTGGTGTTCAGAAATAAGATTACATCTCGATCATTAGATCGGACCTAATTATACTTTCATTAAGGGAATGTAGCATTTTTACACATTCAAATAATGGGACCCACGTCACGCACAACCACTTACACATGGGGCCACCTCTCTCTCTCTCTCACACACACACACACAAACACATGCCACATCACACAAAACACACGGGCACGCACGTACGCACACATGCACACATACACACACACAGAGCACACACGCACACATGCGGCAATCACACCTCACCTCCGTCGACCTGCACGGCTGCACCGCCAGCGTCTCACCATGTGCCATTGCTACGTCGCCGCCGCCGGAGCATCCAACGGCGCCGCCCGTCATCACCGCCGATGACACTTCTTTTTTTTCTTTTAAAGCTAGCATCAAATACGATGATGCTGGTGAGGAAGAGGGCGTTGACGCCTTCGATAGCGACGGTAATGCTCGAGCGAGTGCCGACGCCGTTGACTGCAACACCCCTGATTTTTTTTTTTTCAGCTAACTGGTCGTCCGCTCCAGCACCGAATGGAGCACCATCGTGTGATGACGGTCGACTTTAACAGTCAGCATGTGTGCGACGACCAGCTCCGAATATGAAGTTTTTATTACAGAGACCTCTCTAGAAAATTTGATAAATGTCAAGGTCTAATTTATAAATTCCATTAAATTAACTAAATTACAATTTAGCTCATGGGATAAATTTTAATTTAACTAAATCTAAGAATATTAATCTTACTTCGATTAATTATGTGATTTATAGAAAATATATAAAATAATATTTTTTATATATTTTATTCATACCTATATATATTATAGTTTTTTAATATAAAAACATTAAGTAAGCATATTAAAATATTAAATATATTTGAACAATATAAAATAAATTATTTCAAATATTTAGATTAAATTTAACCAACCAAATAATCTACTTATTTCGGTTAAGTTTTAGACCGGATTTGCACCAAAAAAAAAAAAAAAAAAATCTTTCACGGCAAGATGCACAATAATATAACAAATGATGTGCATTAGTCACTGTCAGACTGCACGATATTATTGAGCAGAGGCACATTAATGCGTTCGAAAATGCACATTATCATAACAATGTGCATTTTCACAAAATATTAAAACTTAGGCTATTTCAGCCTGAGTTTGGCTATATTTACAAAAGAAAAAAAATAAATAAAAACCAACGGAACTATACAAAAATATCAGACGGATAACTTTTGGCATCTTGAACGTCAAGTTCCCCAAAACAATTCAATAAAACAAAAGAAACCCTCGTTCCCAATTCTCTTCGCCGCCTAGTTGCTTGAATCGCAGCCTGTTTGCCTTCCTCTGTGACCTCCGAGCTCCGCCGGCGGTTGCCGGCTCTCGGCTGCTTGGATCCCTCCCTTCTATTTTGCGCTCTATCCCTCTGTTTTTGTGCAGGAGCTAGCCCTAGCCTTCGAGGATGGTTTTCGTCATTCCCGGCGCCGGTCCTTGATTCAAGGTTGGTGGTTTCTCCGATGTGTGGGGGTGGAGCTTTGGTGCGGTTCTTGGGAAGGGACGGGCTCGGTTACTCGGCAGTTTGTCGGGTGGACTGTGTTGCGCGGCTGTTCAAGGGCGTCTCACCCCTGTTCGCAGTTCGGGGTCGGTGGGGCCGTCGCGTCTGTTCTTCTTCTACCAGTGGTGTTGGTCGGAGTGGAGCCGCGGCGGTGCGGAGGGCTTTGGGCAGTCTCCAAGCGGGGTCGGGGGTCGGGGCTGGGCC